ATTTTATTTTATAATCACACATAATCCCATACTCTCAGCTCTTTTCCGAATCGCCCCCATGTCCACTCACACCTTGTCAACACTTATTTTCTTTAACCTATTAAAATGATCTTTCTTAACAAATACCTTAATAAAAGAAAATTAAACTGAGTAATCATACCTTAAACATCCCTTCATGAATATTGGCTACTCTGCCTCTGGTGTTTTCTTTTACTTGCTCCCTCTTTCAGCCCCCTTGAGATATGGGACTGATGACTTCATCCTGCACCATCCTTAAAGCCTTTGATATCCCAAAGGGACATAAGGTTGCGACATTTAGAAGCTCCCACCTTCAATGAACCTATCCTTGACCATCAGTCGCACATTTGAAACGCAACTTTCATGAAGCGCGCCAACTGTGGTACTGATTCAAACCATCTAAATTCATATCTTATAAATTATCAACCCAGTTATGTAATTTACTACAGTGTATATTGTATGATTTGTATCAATTTGATCTTGCCTGTAAACTGGCATGCCTCATGTAACAAACTGTTATTTAAGAATAAATTATTATTATTATTATTATTAATAGATATATCCTTTCGTCGGTAAGATTGTGTTTGTTCTTTAAATATTTTTACAAAGCAATAACCCTGACTCTCTTTCCCATGGTTACAAGTTAGAGCAAGTCAAGATACAGAATGGTGTGATCCTGATATAATGTAATGCCGATAAGATAGTCTCTCTACGGGAAGTAGAAAGGACAATTTTCACTTACTTTATAATTATTTTACATCTGTTCGAAGCTCTACTCCATTTTATTAATCCGAATGAATTTATTCAAATGATTGCTCCATTTTAGAGCGCCATAACGATATGCCAAGTTAAAGCCATAAATAAACCCAACAAAACCCGGGCGAATCCCCGTATAGTGTGGATTATTAACCTATTTGTATTTTTAAAAATTTTGGGCGAAATAAATTACAACTTATATTTAGATATTTTTGTTTAAATAGTCGCAAAAGCGGATATATTTTATCTACCTAAACACAGATCTCATGCCCCTTTGAGATCAAACAGTAAGCATTGGACGACTGTTTTCTGTTTACATGATCCCTTTTGAAATCACTCAGTCTAGAGTTCTAGAAGAGTTGTTACAGTAGTTCGTAGCTCAATATGAGTCAGCTTTCTGGCGATCGCTGTGAAATTTTGTAGTTCCATTCTGAAATGCATCGAAAAACTAATGAAGTCAGCAATGCGAAGGTAGTTATAATAAGGATGATACAGGTATTCAGTGTTTGACAACGCTTCTACCAGTAACACCTTCTAATATACTTTGTTCACACCGAGAGAAATCAAAAGACAGAGTCGAGGAGATCGGAAGAGTGTATTTGGCGATAACCAATATATCGGAATTCTCTGATCTAATCTGGCTAGTGATTGCGATAGATGTTGAGCACAGCGTTACCACACGTGATCTGGTGCGGATGCATAACCGAGCGCCTTCAGTTAGATGAGTCCACTAAAAACATATGGTCATCATCCAATGTCGAAAACTTACAGAGCTATTTATTTTGGGGATTTATTTACCGCTACAATAAGATCACCATCAATTATAGCTTGAAATCTGACTACATATCACAAGACAACTCAGGCTACTCTTCAAGTTGTCATCATTGTGCATGCTACAAATCTTCTAACAAACGCTCTAGAGAGACAAGAATCATACACGAAAGAATGCTTAAAGTGAACTCCGGTCCTGAAATATTGTTTTCGAAATATGTGTAAGTTAAAAATGTAAATGATCTTTAATTCGATTTTCGGAGGGCTATTCAAGTTGAACGGAAATGGCATGACTAACGAGCTTGCATCAAAGTCACACCTCACGGTTTATATCCAAAAGTGTATAACTTCTTGTCATGTCCAGCTACTATGGTTTCTTTGATGAACATACAACACAAGCAACGCTATTGCAGAAATGCATTGATAAGAGTGAGTGCAATGAAGAGTTTGTGAACATTGCCAAATAAGCTAGTCCATGGCATGCAAGTGAATGACGAACGTTGGATGTCTCTGACATTGACGAGGACTTGTAAACTGCCCGATATTCAGTGACCCGACAGGTAGATGATTTGGCTAATATCTAACGAAATTTTACTAACTCTACACATGAAAAGCCTTCAAGACCTAGAGCGATTCTTGAAACAAAACCAGTAAATGGAAAACTGAGCGAGAACAACGTCATCACCACAAAAGACAAGGCTTGTTGTTAGAAACAACGGTTGTCACGTAGTAGGTAATAATGAAAGGTCTACGCATAGTACTTGAAGTAAAAAATTATGAGAACTTTAAAATCTACAGCTCAGTTGATCTTCCATAATTCTACCATCTTAAACCAGCGAGATTTTAATGTATTCCTCATAAAAAATGTTAAAAATATATACATGATGCAAGTATGGATGCCTGGACCAACTGAAATACCATCAACGACAACAAAACCGTAGGCTGTATTGGCGAAAATTCTGAACGAGAAAATAACCATCGTGGTTTACAAACACGCAAAAAGTGGTTGACATTCTGCTGCAAAGCAGTCAATAGTCAGGAGAATGTATACTTGCTGTGACAAATTACTAAGTATTTATGCAATGTATGTACATCGTACAATCGTCCATTTTCTCCATCTGAACCATCTTCTCGTCTGGTCTTCATTCGTTCTGTCAACGCCGTACTTCAGTCTTCAGTAATAAGGATAGTAGGTTGATAAACCTGTGTTAATCCTGACACATTGCCTTCCAGTGAAGGTCCAGCTTTTCCTTGAAAGTATTCACTGATGGGGCTGATACCACTTGTTTGGGTAAGGCGTTCCAATGATTCACTACTCGATGAGAAAAACGGGATCCCACTTTAAGTTTCTTCGATCGTGGTTTGTGAACCTTCTTGATATGACCTCGGAGATTATTAGTGCTGGAGGGATCAAACAGATAAGACATATTAACACCCAAATCATAATTAAAGATACGAAATGCCAGTATAAGGTCACCTCGTGTCCTACGATACGACAAGGGGAAAAGATTTAGGCGTTTTAAACGCTCATCGTAAGGGAGTCTAGAAAGATCCTTCATTAATTTCGTTCCCACACGCTGGACACGCTCAAGGGAGTTAGTATCCTTTACCAGACACGGGCTAGCTGCTTGGATACAGTACTCTAAATGTGGTCTAACATATATGGGATATAAAATTCTAAACATTTCCTCGTCAAAAGATTTGAACGCTCGGCGAAGTGACCATAACGCACGAAAACCTTTGACAGCGGCTGCTTTGCAATGCTTAGTTGGTTTTAAATCATGACTTAATATTACTCCTAAGTCTTTATGCTCTTGATCGCATGGAAGAGGTTTACCCTCAATAGTGTAACGGTAACTATTACCGTGACCGATGTGCATTAGTACACTCTTCCTAGCATTGATTTCTAAGCCCCACTCTCGAGCCCATCTAACTAAATCGTCTAAGTCAGCTTGAAGATCCACATGATCAGCCGCACTTTTTATTGTTCTCCAGATTTTTACATCATCCGCAAACAATAATGTCGACGACCTAAGTAACAGCGGTAATACATTAACGTACAGAAGGAAGAGCAGAGGGCCTAAGATGGTGTACACCACTTTTGACCGGCTTCCAATCGGATAGCGTTCCGTTGACCCTAACTCTCTGTCTGCGGTCACATAAGAAATTTCCTATCCACTCATGTACAGTACCTATTATTCCGAAGCTCGTGAGCTTCTGCATAAGACCTACGTGTGTAACCTTGTCAAACGCTTTGCTAAAATCTATGAATATCACGTCGACAGACAGACCGTTATCTAGGGCTGCTGTCCAATCCTCCCTCGCAATAAGCAAGTTAGTCAAGCATGAACGCTTTTTACGAAATCCGTGTTGCTCTGGTGCTAACAGATTGTGTAAATCTATGTGGCTTAGCAACCTAACCCGAATTATCTTTTCGAGTAACTTAACGACTATGCTAGTTAGACTGACAGGCCGGTAGTTAGATACTATCTGTCGCTGACCGTCCTTAAATATAAGACTAACTATAGCGTCCTTCCAATCTCTAGGGAGTTGAGCGAGTGAGAGGGACATGTTGAAGAGTACATTCGATGTACTATAATTCTTCTATCGTCTAACACTTTTTGATACTGACATTACGTTCTGCTACATACTAGCTGCAAACAGTCTTGTAAGTCTCAACAGCTACACTGCCATCAGTAAATAATCTTGATTAGTAGATAAGATAAATCCGAGTTCTTTAATCATGCAGATTTTTACTTTTACAATTGCTTTTGCTGTTGTGGTTTGCTGGCCACTAAGTAACCCTATTGATGTTTGATCTACGTTTATGTTGAAGATGATACAGGTATTCAGTGTTTGACAACGCTTTTACCGGCAAAACCTTCTAATATAATTCGTACCCACCAAGAGAAATCAAAAGACTGAGTCGTGGAGATCGGAAGAGTGTATTTGGCGATAACCAATATATCGGAATTCTTTGATCTAATCTGGCTAGTGATTGCGATAGATGTTGAGCACAGCGTTACCACACGTGATCTGGTGCGGATGCATGACCGAGCGCCTTCAGCTAGATGAGTGATTTGGCTAGGGCTTAGTGACATTTAGCTGGCCCTACAATGTCCTATCAACCACTGGCAAGCGACCCCACTCTTATTGACAACGAATATTTGGCAAGAAATATGGACTAGCTTACAAATATAAAAAATATATATAGTACGAACGGTCGTACAAGTTACTATGAGATAAACAACGAAAGAAAGTTCATCAAAACATTTCAGGAGCTGGTAAGATAATCAAATATATGCATACGTACTGCCGTCGTCTACATAAACTACTAGATGAACAGATATATCAAGCTCATTACACACTCACCATCTACTGAAACGTTCCCGTACCGTCTACATGAATAAGTTAAATTTCTCATAACAGGTCATTACAAGAACATTGGACACGTTACATATTGGAATTCATACGTTACTCAAACAATTCTTGGGGTTAATCGTGACAGCTGATTGCTCATGGTTGAAGACAGTAGGGGTCTCGGTGATTCCGTTGGACGGCAGTACTTTGGTGATAGCGTAATTGATAGTTCATTTTATTCGGACAACATTAAGACAAATGTTTTCAACTTCATGGGAGAACTTAAACCGAACGTCCATGACGTTAGTAATTCCATCAAGCCACCTCACACATCGGAAAAACGAAAACGAATGTAAGTCATAAAAGGCTTTTTTATTGTTTTGATGCAGTGTACATTCGTTTTTCCAAAAATTATTTATTGAAAACAACTCCGATCCCTCGATCTGAAGTGCAACAAAACATCAATATCGCCCCTGATTCCCTTTTTTTCCCACAACTCCACAAAAGATTTGTGGTTTTCTTTATTCCTCCATAGTTTTCACAACTCTTGAAATTAATTCCCACTGAATTTGTGAAAATAACCTGCATTCCTAATTGGTGTTTTGATTTTGCCCAGAATTTCCATAAACTTGTAAAAACTAAGAATTTACACATGCCTTTTGGGACAACCTCAATATTTCCCCAAAATATTTAGATTGGGAACAATTGAGGTTTTTAATGTACACACAAAACATTTGTTTGCTGCGATTATCAGTTTGTCTAATATATAATCTAGAACTAATAAAGATAAAACTGTAACTTATGGGCATACCAATCAGACTAACGATAGAAGACCTTAGATTTCGTCATAACATTATTCGTCTACGTGATCAAAGATCATTTCTGCATTATACCTTATATCAGTTTGTGGTGAAAACACTAACTATAATTTCGAACTCCTAGTTTCAATCCCTCGCACCAACCTATAACAATCTTTTGGTCCTAGTGAGTAAGCAGATTTCCTCAATGTCAGTTTAGCGCCGCTCATAGGTCAGTATACAGTAATAAGGATAATAGGTTGGTGGACCTGTGTTAATCCTTGCAGTTCGTTTTCCAGTGAATTTCCAGTTTATTCTTGGAAATGTTTACTGATAGGACTCTTACCACCTGTTCGGGTAAAGCGTTCCAGTCATTGACTACTCGATGATAAAAACGTGTGCCGTGGTAACCAGTGGTTGGACGTGCGTAATACGTGACCCAATCATTTCAGTCGATGTAGATTCACAACCTCATCAACGGATCTACCATAATTCCTTAATATATTGCGTTTAACCTCACTATGATTTGCCCGGTGATCCCATCAGATATGAGTAATATTTCTGCGACGTCTATGATCAAATAATAGTAACTTATGTGTATTCCTTACTCTTAGTAGATGAATATTTCGCCTTCGCTATAGGTCACGTAAGTTGAAAAAACGCCAATTTTATTTTTATTTATTTGAACACAAAAATTGGTATATATATATATATATATATATATATATATATATATATATATATATATATATACGCCACACAAAACAATGAGAATGGGACGAGAAAAAAGAAAGTAAGGAAAAAAAGAACAATAAAGACTACAAGATAGTGTATTAATAATAATAATAATAATAATAATAATAATAATAATAATAATAATGGGGGAAACGAAAAGGTACAACCAGAAAAAGTCGTTCAGTTAAGGAAGAAACAACCATTTTTTAATGAAGAAAGTAAAAGTAGGTTACAGCAGGATCGCCACTGGCTTCTACTCTGAGCCATATCTGATAACGTCTCTAGCCACTGTGTAGCACCATCTCTAGGACCCCAACCAGGGAGTCGTGAAGGACCAACAGAAGCCAGCCCTTTTCAGCTTTCTTTCATACCACGACACCATGTCATACACTAGTCACCTGTCCGCTTTCTTCAACCAGTCTCAGCGTCGACAAATAATGCACGACGTGGAATTCTCTGGGAGGACATTCGTAGAAAATGTCCAAGCCACCGAAGTCGATGTTTCAAGATGATGACACCAATTGGATTATCTTTTCGCCCGAACACGCGATACCGAACCTCTGCATTACTAACATGGTGTTGCCACTGGATGTCAGCAATCCTTCGGAAACAACGATGATCAAACACAGAGAGTCGTCTAACGTCATCAACTCGGAGAGGCCATGTTTCATAAGCATGGAGCAGAACTGCTCTCACCGACGCGTTGTAGATCCGACCTTTTACAGTTAGACTAACATCACGAAGGCGCCAAAGATGACCCAGATTGGCACAAGCCACTCTAGCTTTCACTATACGTGAGTCGATCTCATCACTCACGCCACCACCAGCACTTATGCAGCTACCACCTAGATACACAAACTTCTCGACTAATTCTATCTGCTCATCACCGAAGGTGAGTACAGGATTAGAATACTGCCAGTCTTGTAGAAGTACTTTGCACTTCGAAGGTCCAAAGCACATACTATACCTACGGACACTAATTACCAACTGGTGAAGTGAGGATTGCACTGCTTGGGTATTATCACACAGTAAGACATTATCATCCGCATACTCAGGGTCAAGAAGCCTTTCTCTAGGCAACAGATCCACACCGCCATTACTTACATCCATCGGAGCTGTTTCCAGAATGTCACCGATGGTGAAGTTGAAGAGGAATGATGAGATTAGGCAACCCTGTCTAACCTCACTGCTTGAATGGAATAGTAAAGAGTGGTGGTTGTATGCCCACACCCTGCCTAAGGTGTTTGTATATAGGGCCTATAGAATGTTAAGAAACTTCTCAGGCAGCCCTGATGTCAAGAAACATTACGATTGTTGGCCGGTGATAAGTATGATGGTGTTCTAACATTTGGCGGAGGGTGAAGATATGACCAATACATCCTCGACCAGAACAAAAACCAGCCTGCTCCGCGCGAGTTAATCTTTCTCGGGTTTTGAACAACCTATGAAGTATGACGGAAGCCAATAGCTTGGACGCCATCGGAAGTAGACTTATCCCCGATAGTTGTTACAGAAACGACGTGGACCCTTTTTAAAGATATGCACAACTATCGACTCATTCCATGACGTTGGTACACTCTCGAGCTTCCAGACCTTTGTAAACAAATTTGTCAGTTCCTTAATCAGAAAGTCACCACCATCTTTAAAAAGAGCCGGAGGTAAGTCATGTGGCCCCGGTGGTTTAGAGCTCTGTGATATGAATCATTTATTTAAAACATTCTGGGTTTATATATCAACCAAACAGACCACATCGCACCATAAAATAGGAAAAAAACATTTGTACTAGACTTGGCCAAATGTGGCTGTGAATAAGGGAGATAATAATTGATAGACCAGACATAACTCAAGAATAGTAAATCGTATAATAATACTTCATGAGTCAAGATAAAGCTGATAATACGAGGGACACGAATATGGGTAATTTAATTACTTAACAATTATACGACAAAAATATATGTATTGTATTGGTCTATAACTTAGTCGCAAAAGTTACCATTCATTATTCTCATCGAAAAATAACACAGATACATACTGTATATCGTGTGTTCGAAACCTAAAGTAAAGTACAATGTGATTACTATTTGCTAGTGGGGGGAAGGTGCTGTATGTCGATGACATCATCACAGTGGTGTTTAAAGACAAGGTCTAACAATGACGGTTCATGTTCCAAGTCAATATGTGTCGGTTTTGCGATAGTGTGCAAATGCACACTGATAGCATATTGCTATCGAAACATCCATCTGAAGTTGTAAACTCTATCTAGTTGATATGCGGCGCGTTAAAATCCCCAATGATGAGACAAAAGTCGGCCTTAACCCAAGAATGTGTATGACTAACGATAAAATCGTTAGGTGGACAACGTGGACTGCGGTATATTCCTCCTATAGTCACTAACCTGTGTCTAGACTTCATTTTACTACAAGCTACCTCGCATTTACCACTGTCATGCGCCTCTGATGTGATTAGTTGTACATGAAATTGATCTCCAACATATACTATTATGCCTCCTCCATCGCGGTTTATAACTATCACTTCTAATACAGATGTAACCCGGAATAATGGTGGAACATTCGTTATCTACGGTGAGCCACGTTTCTGTGGCAACACATATCGGGAAATAACTCATCCACCATTGTACTTAACTCGGATGCTTTATTTTGCATGCCAAGAGCGTTCGTGTAGCACACATTTAAGGCTCTTTGAGGATCACACGTTCTACTCATACAGGTGTCGGAAGCATTGACTTTCAAGACCTCCCCACCCGGAAATTTCGACTTTTAAGGTTTGTTTCTCCATTTAGCTTTCGAGTTTTTACCTCTGTAAGGGCATTCTTCCACTTGATTCGATCCTTAGGCAACCAGTTTAGTCGGATACGAATATTTGAATTACGAGTTTTGTATGCATTATTCAGTATGAATTGTCTTCATGACTTCCGAGTACTAACTTCAGGATTCTTCTTGGTTGGGTCTCGCCTCCAGCGAACTAACCGAGTCTTATCGCTTTCGTGATATGTACCCCTGAAACTTCTGATGGCATATTCATATAAATCCAAATTGTGTGCATGCTTTTTTAGCAGGGTCATTATATTTTGACTCAAGATTCCAAAAAAAAATAAACTAAAAACGGATTTGACATTTTTAAAAGTCGTGTTCACGGCTTTCGATCGTGATGTCATATCCCGTCTGTTAACCACCGTGAGCCTATCTTTGGTTGTTCTCGAAACAGAGTTATGTGAGTCGAACGCATTACTTACAACAATATCCGATGAGAACAAACTTTTTCGAATCACATTACGGGCTAATATTGTATTACTTTGGGACTTTGGCGGGATAATCTGCGACTCACTGTGAGCCCACCAAAGACTTGTCAACTAATTGGGCGCTGTTTGTGGCCATTTTTCCTTTTCTCCTCTGTTTCCGTACTATCCACAATTTTCCCATCATTAGTGGCATCGACGTCATGACTACCTGGGACAGTATCGGTTTTATCTAGGTCATCAGTTACTACTCTAGCAATGTGACCATCAATATCAGTGGTGGTTCACTCTTTAATTGTTTCAAGGGAGATTTCCCTATTGGATGTCGCACGGTCGAGAGTTTGATTCGTTCTGTAACAGCACTTACGACACTGACATATTCTTCTCTGTCAGTACCCATGTTATTAGTTCAGCCATCATAAACCTTTTTTCTGGCCAACACCAGAAAGCTAATTGTCTCTTGGATGAGTAATGTGTTGCTCGAAGAACAACACATACAAAGCCAATTGAAGTTAGGCTTTGAGCACCTTTTGTATGCGGTGGGATTTATACGGGTGCAAATCTTATGGAACCACTTATTGCACTCTTCACATTGCATTCCTTGCACGTAACAGCAATTCGGCCGTCCACATCTATGAGTAAAGCGAACCATCCTGAAAATCAACTAAAAAGGATAACATTGAATTGGATTTTAAGGAAAATTCCAAACCCTAGCCGAAATAGGTCAAATTAAAGTCTACCAAGTATACTTTGATGCAATAAATATACAAAAACAAAGTCGGTTCACAACAAGTACGAAATCACTGCATTTTTTAAAAATCGCGTCCAGGAATCTATAAATTATAATCTCACCGGTAATATATTCACATGTATTGAACGGTTGTAATGTGCAAATGTGCACTAGACGATATATATTCAAAGGAATCTTCCTTGAATCATCTTTGGCGAGAGTCTTGTAGTTGACTTGAAGTGCGAAAAACTAAATATAGCTTTTCATAACATTTGTAAATATTTGTTTCAGTAACATTGTTAATTACGATGTAAGGAATATTACAAAATATTTCATGACTGACTGGCTTTTATCTTGGTTTATGATATTGCCAAGGAGACTTAAAAAACTTGAGGCAGAGCAGTGAAATAGTGGTAATTGGTTGAGATTGGTTACCGACAACATTTATGCAAATAACTAAGCTTTACGGAAGTTTTTCCTAATCTCCTACTATCTGTGCAATCATTGTCACTCTTATAAGGACTTTAGTAATAAATACATTTCCAGGCAATTAATTTACGTTTGCAAAGTTCATTTCCTACTGCTGTTTTTAAATATTTCTAGGAGTCCTGTTCCGGATAATGTTATACCCCACAAATACTACCTCTGTGAAACGGCTATGGCAAATCATTTTGCTCAAATGAATCTAACCTTACCGGTCGACGCATCCAAAATTCAAGGTGATTGCAGCTCACCTTTGTTTGGTGATTCGTCCTGCTTTCCACTTGACTCAAGTCAGATTGCTTCCGCTCATCACTTGTATCAAAACTTGTCATTGCACACTAACAAAGAAGCAGGTGTTATTACTATTAATGACGATGAGGATATTGATGAAGATGCGCAAACCGAAAGGTCTCTAATATATATATATATATATATATATATATATATATATATATATATATATATATATATATATATATATATATATATAATTTTTTTATGAACGCATAACCTTAGATTAGAATAGTAATAAGCTTTATTAATTTCAAGATATGAATTCTTATGTGTGCGAAGATATTGCTCATAACATAAATGAAAATAGTGTACTTTGAGGATGTTACATATTAACTCAACTATACGACTCGAAAATAAGTTACAATAACACCAAGAATCCACAAAAGTAAACTTGGATATTCGTTGAAAAGTTAGCATCTAAATATTAAGAATATAAATGAAATTTTAGAAAGGTTATTGCATCTCGACCGACGACGATATAGTGTAATTGGCATAAGAAACAGAAAATTCCAATTGTCTTCAGGGATAAAACACCAGATATATTGTAATGTTTTAAAATGGGACTGATTTATCAAAGTTGTGACCTTAGAAAAATACTGATCTTTGCTACTTATACAGTCGTTTGCTTTGACTGTGAAGTATTTTTACCTGCTACGTGTATAACAGTACGAGATTGCTTTGTAGATGTGTGAAAGAAAACTAGATTCTAAAATGTTTTGGTCATTTAATAAGTTCAAATAAATTGAGCTAGTGTATAATCAATAATCTGATGTGTAAACAGAGCAGGAACAAGGTTTGGAGAGTAAAATAAATTCATTCTACTTCACGGTTTCTCATCTGCTACATAGAACCTAAAAGTACAATTATTAATACAATCATTTACAAATGTTCAGCATATTTGAGTTTATGAGGTATCGGTAAATGTTCCAAACATAATCAAAATCATAATAATAAGAATAGGGATATGAAGTGTATAAGTAAACATATTTAAGGTTGATGTATATTCACAGCTATTGAAAAACCGTCAAATAGAATGAATCCATTTTATTTTGCAAACATTGTTGTTCTTGCTCTGTTTAAATTTATCAAGGGATTTTGGTTTAATGAAATCCAATGTTATCCAATTCGCCAAATGAATCATTTAACTGACAACTGAGAAGTGTCGTTCATTGCTGAATTATACATTTGCTTTGTTCCTAACAAACGTGATTTATTAATTAGCCTATAATAATGATAATAGTCAAATTTTTTGAATAAAGAAGTAACTTGAACTAAATACCTGTTAATATTTATACGAAAATTAAATTGATAACATTTTCTCATCTCTGATTGGTATCAACTAATTTACTTTAAATTTCATCACAGATCACCTTTACGATTTTCAAATGATTTGAAAGATCACTTAAGATTTAAACGAATGAATCCAACAGATACGTTCCTAAGAGGACTGTAAGTTTCTTCGTTTAGTATTACTGTTAACTGTTGCTTTTAATATTTTAGTACTCTATTGTTCACCACGATATAGCATTTTTCGGATAAAAAATGCATACGTTTACAGTCGTTTTTCTCGTCGTAACAAAATAAATTAAACAAAGAAGCAGAAATAGTGTGAAACATCATACAATTTTACCACACTTCAGATCAACACTGAAGAATGTCATTGAGAATAATGATCTTAACAATTTAGTTTAAGATATGTTGGATTATCCCGTGGTTGATATTTCGGCGTATTTGCAACTTATGTGGACCTCTTCAGTATAGCCATTATGACTCAAATTAATGTGGAATACATAAAATGCGACTAGCGGTATAATCTAGTACGCGCGTTTAGTCCTACTTGGGACTTGCCAGCTGGATACACATGCATCCCAGAGTTGATGCTCATTCTGGGACTGGAACCCAGAACCGTTTGCTTCAAACTCCATCATGTTATCCACTTAGCTGCTGAGTCCAGATGTCCCAAACTGATCAGATATGAGTCAAAATGTCAAAAACGAGATAGCCTAAACTGTTCTAAATTGAATTAAAAATTATACCCGTTGCACAAGTAAGTGGCTATCTGGACTTAGTAGCTAAGTGAGTAACTATGGAGTTTGGAGCGAACGGTACGGAGTTCGTATCTCGAGACGTACATCAAATCTGGCAAGTCCCATGTAGGACAAAACACACGTCCTGGATTCTACTACTAGCCACATTCCATCTACCCTATATTAATGATCCTAATAGTTGTTAATGAATGAGACACTAATTAAATAAGTTAAGATAACGAATAAAGATGTGGAGAATCAAATGACTTAATTTGTAATGATGATAAATGGTATGTATTTCTTCATGATGAAAACTATTTTCAAGCCAGTTCAGCTTAAATATTCGATTGTCTCTCTCACTGTCGATCAGCAACACTTCACAGCTGAGATCAACAGATAGTGAATCCATAAGTTGGTAATTCTATTTATTTATTTAAACACATAAACAATGGTACAACGGGGCACCAAATATATATGCGCCACGCAATAACAATGAGGCTATTAGCAGTCACCATTGCTTTGTGTGAGGCCCGGGTACCCAACCCGAAGCAGGTGCTTTTCTTAGGGTCCACACCCGGAGTCTTTGACCTAAAGGTCTAATCCACAGGGCAGTGGAGCAACGTCATGACATGCGGTCCTACGGTAGTCGATGACCAACAACAGGTTTATATGCCTTTTGTTCCCTTATGATCCTGGAGCCCATGTGCAACACTGGTTTGGAATCAGAGTTTTCGAACTTTCCTATGTGGATCCTCTATTTCTATTGAGCAGGTTAAAGAGCCAGACATTCTCTTTTAATCTTCTTAATTTCATAAACAACAGTAATTTCGCGAGAAGGCAGTGAGTACATACATACCTCACTCATTCATATGTATAACTACAGAAAGAAGTTATATTTATTTATATTCACTAGGGAAAATACTGTATATTTCACTTGACAATCAAAGTTTATTCTGACTTGATTGTCACCAATCATAAGGAAATCTCTAAATAGTGCGTGTTTAAGCTTCAAATCAATGCTAATGCTATGCTTATTCATTGTCGCACATATCCAACATCCGACGCGACCCATGATGTAATCGGTAAAACTATGTCGAAAATTACTTTCCCTTGGTATTCGATGGATATTTCATTCTTTATTGACCTCTGTTTTGTAGTATGTAACCTTATGTGAAAATAGATCATATTTCATTATTTCTTTGCAAGGGAAAATTTCATTCTTCACTATGCAACTCTTTTTCTTTACTAAAATAATGCAATTTTATTAGGCTTTCATCTGAACCGTCACTCGCGATAGTGCCGTTTAATCCTGATCCCCTCAAAAGTTTACTTCCGCCTAATTTCTCAGATCAAGAGTCAAGTGAAGAAAACTCGGACTCTAAAGTGTTACCAGATAGTCAAGTGCTCGATTCGTCTACTGTCCTCCCTACCAATTCCTCTACATTTGGTAACGTTTTGTGTATGGATATCGATTCAGATTTCACGGGATAACAAAAACAGTTTGGTTTTATTTGAGTAAGCTAAACATTTTTACATTTTCCTAGTTTATACTAGTGTTTCACATGCACTTGAAATTATTCTTGACTCCATGGCATAACATGGAAGGTATTTAAAGATTCAGAATGTTAATAACTTATTTTCTAGTTTTATTTAATACCCCGCTTCTTAATTCTTTAGCATTAATCATTTAATTACTCCATCATACATGAGTGTCATAGACAAAATACTTTTAATGTACGGATACTTTCTGCTGGAGTTGTTTCATATTCGTAAAAGAATACCTAGCTAGTTGATAATCAGTATACTGTCTCTGTGATTGATAGACGGTCATCTTTCCCGCTCTACGAGTGGGACAAATTATTTGAAGTCATACGAACTTTTCATATTCATGCTGAAATTTCACCAGTCACTAAACCAATTTGTTTAGTAAGACTGTTGAGATTGGTGGGTTGACTGACGCTACCAAGTCTTGAAACAGTATTCTGCAATTATATAAACTGAAGCTTATTCTAAGTATTTTTCACTTTCTCACAATGTGCTTAATAAATTACACTTTATGAGAGTTTTCACTAACCAGAAACATGTAGTCAGCATGCTTCCAGTAAAAATAGTGAAATTAATCCGGAATAAAGCTGTGTTTAAAATCACGTAAATAACTTTCATGTGAACACTAGGACTTTCAACTTTATAGAGGTTACTTAATGACAAATTAAGTGTTACATCAGTTATGCCCGTACTATCCGACATCTCTTTAAGGTGCATCACTCATTAATTAGCACAAAACACTAAGAATTAAGCAGAAGGGTATAATTATAAGCTTTTGATTCCTAAACATATATCCCGTCTCATTCCAAAAAGCATTGGGCTTAGCTGATTATTAGTGATTCTTGATGCACAAACCTGTATTTAGTGAGTAAATCACATGTTAGCCCATTAACGAATTAAAAAACGCGAGGATGGAGCATTCTACAATAGGTACATTGGTTGTCTTACTGCATAATTTTATTTATTTTTACACCACTTTTCACACTTATTATTTTCTGATTGTAACCATCGCCGTTCCTTTTTGTCACCAGAACTTCAACAGTTCCTAACAAGAAATTTCCCAACTAAATTTGGCCATTGAGTCAGAATTATAACTACCGGTTAATCGTGTAAGAAATAATCTCTTTTGTGATTCGTCTTCATTAAAATAATTGATTTGTTTCTACTCACATGTGAAATGTATTTCATTTAATTGTTATCTCCATTTCTTTACAGATTATAAAGAAACTGTTCAAATTGTACATTATTGTCATTTCCTAACGAGGTCTACCCCTGCATATTCAGCTCCTTCACTTAGCATTTGCGTAAGTAATGGCTTTTTCCCTTTGAAATCCTCAGTTATTATTTGTATTATGGTTTCTTTAACTAAGTCATTTTTATCAGTCTACATTCTGACATTTCGAGTGCTTCAACTTAATGACAGAGAAATCGAGAATATATTTCAGGAACAACTAGAGAAACAGTTAGTCAACCATGATTATGATATCCACCCTGAGGTAGCTTTCCATGATATCCAGAATTCTTTGGAAACAGCAGTGATATCTGCCAGTAACTTAAACCAAAAGGTTAAAAAATATCAATGGATTTTGGCGGCGTCTACTGAACTGATAAATATTTGGGAAACCAACCTGTCAGGCTCCGAGTACGATGAGCTCGAAATCAGCCCAAATGTAGGCCGGCTGTGAGCAGTGACGGGTGGCGAAAGCTGAAGAGGTGGAACAGGGAACTGTTATAAGTGAAAATAGACAACTATCTAACCTTAGCAAGTAAGGCAGCATTCCGAGCATGTTGCAGTTCTCTCCATCTAAGTGCAAAATTTTTGCTTCAAGATTGGCTTGAGTCAGCGCGTGAAATAAGAATAGGAAATGACCTAATTGAGCGTATCGACTGCTTCACTTATCCTGAGATTCTCATCATTCCTGACGTATAGTGTCTGACGAAATCTCAACACGGATCCAAAAAGCCCTATCGACTATTAGCAACATATGTCACTTATGGCGTAGACGAGATATCTTTCTTTAAACAAAATGGTGAGTTTATTGTGAGACAGTTAACTTCTATTTATGATAATAAAACATGGCTGTTAATAATAGAGAATATCCCCAGGTCAGTAGTATTCAATCATAGGTGTCTTCCAGGCATTGGTTGTGTATTTTGGGACCATCGGGTGAACAATAGTGATTTTAAGTATGGGGTACCAGGTAAATAGGGCGAATCAATTGGTGAAGTCGTTAGTGAATCTCTATTATCTGAGGTGGTTAGGACATGTGTTATAAATACTCAACCATCGCCTACTTCAACGTATGATGTTGTCTGGTGCAAAAGTAGGCTAAAAGATAGGGACTGGCAAACTGAGATGTGGCACTAGTCCATAGAGTTACTGACAATCGAACGGTGACAGGTTAGTAGGTGTAGGGTACCTGGTTGGGTTCCTTGTGGTTGTTGTAACTAGTGGTTAGAGACTTTGAATGACATGGTTCAAAACAGTTTACAGTGCTTTAGGTACATCCATTTCTCGTCTTTCCCCAGATTCTAAGCTTTTGAATTCTACATATATTTATTCCAACAATTTATATTTTGAATAGTATCTTCGATACTTAATTTTTTCCATTGTCACTAATATTATTACTACCTCCACCATTTTGGGATTCGCTCTAACATTCTCATCACACTGTGCTAATGGGCTGTGGCGACCTAGACCAACGTACATATCTGCCAGGTTCTACGTCTCGACTGACTAAATAACTTTTATTAGACTTTTACATTATAAATGTCTAAATATTTGGTAGAAAGTTAGCAGCTAGTGTTCATTATTCTTATATAAGATTTGAATATTTGTTGTGGCTTAAAGTATTTTTGACGGAATATAAATGTTGTTAGTTTGTAAGTTAACGTTTTTTTATTTTATATATTGGTACATCGTTTATAAATTTATAGACAAATAAATTAGTTATCAAGAAGTTCATTGATAAACAATTATTGAAACCTGTCCACTGAATAACACTTACAAAGATTTGAGGAATTAGCGATTTCTCTCTTTCCTCTTAAAAAAACTGAAAATCTAAGGGTGCGACAAGGAAATAAACGTTTTATTCTTTCACGAATGTAATGCATAACCTTTTGCGTTAGTTATTTGTCATATTGTGTGATAACGGTTCAATATTCGGTGCTTGAACTCCAGCCACCATGTAGTACATATAAATCTACTTCACTTAAGTTATTTACTTACTGTAAAATATCATCATGGACTAATATATAAAATAATTTAGACCGAAAATTTAATAGAAGTTAAGTTACATTAAACTATTTCTACTTCTGTATTTTCGTATTGTTTATTGTTTTATTCATCATATTGACTCTTATTTCATTCATTTTATTCGTTTGCTATCTTGTTGATGGTTGAACTGGTAAAAAGAAATTAACCACTACAGGATTTTATGCAGTAGCTTCTGAGTTCAAGCCTGAAAACAATGATTAACCTTACTTAGATAGTAGAGCTCATTAATCTGATATATCTCAAATTGTCTTAAGTGTTTTCTGTTTATATTTCAGACACACATATCGAGTGGTTTAATACAGTGGATAGTCCATGCATTTTCTAATGTTACTGCATTAATGAACAAGACCTTTGAAAATTACAACACACCTTGCCTTTGATTGTTATCTTTATCATTTGTTGGATATATATTGTTAATATCTTTTACAATGTATAAGATATGCTGTACTGATTTTTTATTGTAGTGCACGTATATATTGTTGGTTTTTCAATATTTATTGTACTCATTGTATATGAACACTATATTTTCTAGATTTCTTTCTGTTTAGATAGAAATAAATCAAGTTTTTGCAGCGTAAAAAGTTTTTTGTATTTCGACTATCACAAACTGCTATTTCTTGGACATATAATTCACAGTTTTAAAATAATGTTAAGGTTAGTGATTCCGACTCAAACCATCATAATTGTTATGACTGGTGGTCGACTGTTATGACTGCATCACCAGTTGTTATATATGGTCGTCACTGATTGTTTTATCGGAATCACTTATTACTTATACTTGTAAAAACAAAAATACATTACAGTTCTCACGACGCAAAAGTAAGAACACTAAAAGTGATACAAGTGAATATTAATTCACCCCAAAACACAATGACGACGACTCTAATTGAAAATACATTCATTAATATATTGATTGTATGTTCATTTTGATAATTAATTAGGATGGAATTACATGCTACATGTCAATATAGAGTATAGCTTATGTTAATATAATACGGGAAAACAGTAACAAATACTGCACTGAGTAATCATCACATTCAATTAAAATAGAATTCATGTTGAACAAAAATCATGATGAGTAAACAAATATAATTTTGACTTTTCATTCCGTACATTAAACGTAAAGATTCGCAGAACTGTTAACTACTTGGTGTCTGTATTATATAGCTTAGAAATAGTAAATATTTTAAAACTAGACAGGATGAAACCCTGTGTTATTGTAAAGTGTAGTAATTTGGATTAGTATATTTCTGCAGTATATTCTTTATTCTGCGTGAAGTAACATAAATTTTTCTTAAAAATATTGAATAAAACTAAAGAGAATCAGAGTTACCTGTAATTTTAGTTTTATTCAGTTATTTCCTTTATTGCATCGACTTATTTTCTATCATTTGTGTTTCACATTCACTAGAAAGACTAATCAAAGTTATGGATAAATACATCATTTCTAAATGACATTATGTTAAGGTTCTTTTTCACGTTTAATAATCCATTGACTCATTATTTTGAAATAAATGTTAATAAATTATCTATTACCAGACTTCAAAAAGAAGTCAAGTTTTCAGTTTTCCAATTAACCACTGATACTACTATTCCCTGAATTTATAGATTTATATAGGTTTTTTGTTGAGATCGGTGCTCGTGTTTATCCCTTATTTATTTCGTAGTGCTTTTAACTACTGAGTTTTTTTAAAAGCGAATACATAAATATAATAGCGATCAAGAATGATGGAAATACTAGGAGTCTGCGATTGAATTTCTTGATGTTCTGTATAAGTGACAATGTTGGTTTTCAGAAATCGTTTATTTACAGTAAACTAAAGTGAATGGTTGATTAACTTCGGTCGTGTTAATTCTGAATGTTATGACGCGTATTGTTGGTGAATAACGCGTTAGTTATTCTGAGAACATCTTCATAAATGCGCATGACTCAAAAAGTGTTTATTGTCTTGTATTCGCCAGATTATTGAATGCTAAACTGATAACACTCCTCACACAATTCCTTAGACTCCGAGCTATGATTATTATTGGGTCTCACTTTCCAAAAAAATTACACAGGATAAAGATACTTCTGTATACTGTCCAGTAAATGAGCATACCAAGATTATAAATCTAATTCACGTAAACCTATTTTAGTATGATTCGAACTTGAAGATATTCAAACTATGATCGGATGTTTACGATACTTATCTCACCATAAATGTCACATAATTGTATAAAATCCTTATTTTTCTAAACAGTTGTTGATATAAGCTTGATTATTGAACTGTATTGTCCAGTTTTCCTCCAATGTTCTGTTCGAGTGAAATTGCAGTCAAATAAGCAAAATCCTTCTAGATGTGAAAACTTTCAGTCTACCTGTTCTTCATAAGCCTAAACGATAGTACAGTAAGTGGATTTACTCTTTAGAACTTTGTAAGCTTCTCTGTAATGTTGACTGATGACCACTAAATTGATCACGTCGTAAGACGGCGGGTTTACTTCTCTATAAATAGGTTTAAGTGTGACAAGGCTGGATCGGTATTGACTGGAAATGGTGCGTTTATCAGATGGTTCATGTAGGAGGTCATTATGTATTAAGTGAAAGGGATCGGGTTTCCACAAACTTCCCTACAATTATAAGGCTAGAACCAAATATTAATTTTGTAGAGGTAGAATCAGCATTAGCTCTTATTGAACAACGATTTTCGAGATAGATGATTGTGCTTGCCTATTGTGATGTGTTCGCTAACGAAAAAGAGGTTTTCAAAGATCGCTCATGAGTTAAAGGAGAAATTTGTTTTTGTAAAAATCTCAGCGAATAAATTTAAAGTAAATCCAAACAATCAGACTGTGCTAAATTAATCAGTGGAAAGTACCTGGTTGGGGTCCTCATGGTTGTCGTAACCAGTGGTTAGAGACTGAATGACATGACTTAAAACACTTTTAAATAGTTCAGGTACGTTCACTACTTGTCCTTTTTATAATCTATGTCCTGAAATCCCTTTAGAGGTTTTTTTTCTATACCTAATCTTTTCTAATTCACTAATACTACTGCTCATGTTGTTATTACTTTTACTGCTCTTTACTTTGTCATGATAAATAGTTTGCTTTGCTAGTGGATCAATTTACATTGGTGAGGCTTTACGTTACTTATGACAGGCTGAGAAAATTTTTCGGTTAAACAATCAGTAAAGGAATGACATCATCCCTGATTATGGGAAAATCAGAGGACATATCGGATGGTAAAGTTCGAAGGAGAAGATAGAACTTCACTACCTATGCCTAAAAATCTGGGTACATTTGAAACGAATGAACGCAAACTTTCAATGTAGTCAGAATGGGATTAATTATTTTAGAATTTCGATAATGCAATGAGAAGACGTAGTTTATCAGAATTATGTGATATATTTGCGCAATACATTTCGAACAATCTGATCACACATATACTTGTTAAGAACATTTATATATGAAAAATTAAAAGGTCAACTAGACAGGTTAAGGGTAAGTCATAACAAAGGAAAAAATATTAAAGTAGACAAAAACAAATGTGATTACCACTCTGGAATTACCTAAAGAGGGAGATAATTCTAAAATCTACTGAAAGAAAGGAGCGTTTTGTTTATTTGAAATCAGATTTTTGGGTCATACCGTTTTAACTGTAAGGGAACTAACTTTGTTTTGTGACCTATACTTCATTGGCAGATGACATTTTGTTCTTTTGAACATTACTACTGATTAATAAGTAAGTATCCTGAATCGAATTCGAAATATTTACTTCAAGCCGGATATGTTCTTGATTTGAGGTAATGTATATCTGTGTAAAAAAGTAAACTGCCTTTCAATGGACCTATTTTTGCCAGTGTACATATTGGGTAGGGAATATGACTGTCTATTTCAGTCCATCGTAATTTTGTTCTTTATACTATTTAACCTCTTTCATTGAATCGGAAAAAATTCACTTCCAGTATATTTCTTGTCAACACTCTAGATAGCGAAATTATTTAGCATCCTCTAACTGTGATGTTTACAGACTTTTTATTAAAAAGTATTGATGGTTAACATTAACTGTGATCTATCTGGCCCTAACGTTAAAGTTTATAGCTAAAGTTGTATAGTAATAACCGTGTAAATGAATAAACGTTATACTGTGATCGAAATTGTCCGATTCATAAACACTACATTGGAAATAGTGTTTTAGTTCCTTTTAAGGTGTTACGTTGAAAATAGTAAGACAATACGATACAAATCTGTAAAAAGACTTAATGCACAGAGTGTTAAGTTCATAGATATCTTAAACAACATATTTTCATCAAGGTAAAATCCACTGGTTTGCATATTTCGGTTTCTGTCGATTCGCATTGTTACCATATATTATTATGTCTGGGTAACTGATTCATTTTCTGCTTGTCTGACTTTACAAATCATCAAATAACATAAAATTGCTGTGAGTAAACTTAATTCATCAAATATCTTTCGACTCCGTCAAAATAATCAGTTATCAATGTTGGCGACGGTTTGTTATAATGCTTGATCTAAATTTCAAATACGGTATAAAAGAATTGAAAAAAAACAAGTTTTATTTCAGGAAATAGGGATTTATTGATAACACGAGTTTGATGAAATAAGATTCACTAATAATTGTATATTTAATATTAAGAAATATTCAAAAATCATATGAACCCCGCCTGTAGCACTTCTAGGGTTACCGCCGGTCACAAGCTCGATTGAAGGAGAAGGATTGGGTGTGCGGTCGGCAACCCCGTCTCGTACAAAAAATCTTGCTAAAATACACTAACCAGAACGAACAATTTAAACCAGTTAGAATCTACCCTCCGAGTTCAAGGAAGAATTATGACGCTTCACGATGAAAGCCGATATACTTCCGAAGTTATTAGACCGATGCCCCTTCATGAAATGTTCGGACAATGTAGGACACCGGGAGGACCAATGAAATAGTTACAAAAATGAGGAGCCTCTAGACCTGACAATATACCAGCCGAAGCACTGAAGTCAGCCATAGAAGTAACCACACCAATGCTCCACGTTCTATTTGGGAAGATGGATGCGCACTGTTTAGGAGTCGCACGATGGGACGAAACGGCTGTTCAGTGCTTCCAGGTTTTTCATGGTGGTCTAGCTTCAATTGACTCATGATCTCAACTATTGCAATTGTTGCAGTCTCCACAGGACCCTTCTGAGAGTTACAAATGCCGACATACTGGGAAGGAGGATATCTCATCAAGATACCAAAGAAAGTAGATTTGAGCAAATGTAAGAACTTTAGAGGCATCATACTACTATCTGCACCAGGAAAATTTTTCAACATTGTTGCTGAACCGGATGAAACACTCAGAGGACACTCAATATCGAGATCAACAGACCGGATTTCATAACGATCGATCGTGCACAGATCAAATAGCAACACTATGGATCATCGTTTAACAATCACTTGAATGGAACTGTCACTACACATCAACTTTCTTTAGCATGAGAAAGCATTTGAGGGCAGCTGGCAAATACATTCAAAGTGACGATCAGAGCCAGACAAGGTGCTTAATATCCCCCTTTCCCTTTCTTCTGGTGGTTGCTTGTGA